CTATTGCCCAGCTCAGCCGATGCCCATGTACCTGACTCAGGCTCGTTCGCCTCCGCAATCGGCTGGGCAGCCAAGAGAGTCGCAGGAGCCCACCAACAACGAGAGTCGGCTGGTCGACCTGTCGCCCCATCGTGATCTGTTGCTACGGCAACTGGCCTCCTCTCTGACTGCCTATGCCCCTGACGTCGAGGTCTCGGCGAAGGTTGGAGACGCCTCAGGCCAAGTTCAGGCGTCTAATCTACCGGCTCCTGGCTATGCTGCCGTCGGTGTCAAGATGGGCGTCGCGAAGGATGGCAATCACCATGGTGAACCACATCTCGAGGTACCACTCTCAGCCATGTTCACAGATCCGCTCCCCAAAATGGGCAGTCGTGATACAGTATCCTATTTCGATTCCACACTCGCCTGTCGAGAGGATCTTCTCATCAATCCACCCGTCTCCAAACCAGGCGCTCTTCTCTTAGACGATGCCTTCACGACGGTACCAGTTGCCATAACCACCGGAGGACAAGGCTTCGCTGAGACGCACTGCAGAACCAATCAAGAGTCGACATGTAAACGGAAACAGAACAGCGAATTGGACAGAATGGCTGAGGCTGACACTAAGAGGCAAAGTGTTTCTGAGACAGGCAGAAGTCAAACGGAACCGCGATCTTGTGAGACCAGAAATGCATGGCATCGGTTACGAACGCGTCGGGCAGGCCGAAAACACAAGCGTTTCTCGGCAAAGAGCACGTGGATTTGCGGCTTCTCGAGCTGGCAGAAGAACCGAGAAAGCGGCTCGACAAGGACGAAAGGAAGCACGAGCAGAACGATCTACCAGAGCCAGGCGATAGCAGATGCAAGCCGCTGCCGGTCGCAGAACAAGATAGCCGAGAACACCGAGAAAAGTGAAAAAACTGGTCTTGAATTCGAGGACTCCAGGCGAGGAGAGATGCTGCACGAAGCTGGAGGGGACGAGAAAGAGAAAAATAAGGCTGAGGAGGATGGCAGCTGGGATTTTGGCGCAAAGCATGAAGTTGACAATAGGGCAAATACTGTATCTAAAAGTTTTGCTCAGTTGAAAGCGTCTAAATCTCTGGCAGACATTTGTGGCGTCAAGGTTGTGCTCTGTCTGCCAAACTCTCGAGAGGGTACAGACAAAGGGGTCATGAGAAGCGAGGTCGAGTCGGCCAGACACGGTGCAAAAGCTAACGAGCCTTTCAAGCGCAAGCTTGATGACGAGAAGTCGATCGAAACCAAGCCAGCGCAGGAGGTTCATGAGAGATCCAGACCCCACCAGAAGGATGGACAGTCGAGCACCGAAGAAGCAAAACTATCGGAAGCCAGGTATAAAACCAGTGACGTAAGAGGGTTTGGCGGAAGAGGTGATGTGGTTGCGAATAAGGCGAAACATTCTGTAGCAGCGAAGAAGAGCAGAGAAGAGGAGGAAGAAAAGGCAGGTAAAACGATGACAACTGTAAAACTTTTGACGAAGAGACCTTCGGAAATCTGCCAAGACGACACAGACGGAGACAGCAGAGTACAATACACAATTCGACACTTTCTCAGCTAACATCACGAAAGTAGTGACAATAATAGTTTTACCACGTTTATCGTTTCAGATACATCCTTTTTCATCCCCTTTCTGCGTTACTCATCCCTTACTCATGCTACATATACATATACATATCTATATTCATACATAGATACGCACACACGCATACATACATACATATATATGTGTAATTTAAAGCCATGAAATTAAATTTCTTTGTTTATTTACTGTTTTTTCATTGAGTGCTGCTATCACGTAATCATATGTTTATAAGGTGGTAAAAAGGCTGAAAGTTTAGCTTTCCATTATGATCTACTGAGTAAAAAAACTCCCAATACAATAGTATTTATCATAGCCTTGACTTTCCGAAAAGACTTTCTCACCCCGGCTGGATTGTAATTTTGACCTCGCAAAGAGTAGCACCAGCACATGAAACACGATTTGAGGACGGATCGTGTCCGCCAAGCAGCAATATTGTCACACCGCCACACAATCACATGGCAGGCAATTCAGGCATCTTTTAATTTATACACATAAGGGGATTAACTAAAGAAAAGCTGTATTACAAAGAATCACTTAGCAAGTTCAGGCGACTCGGCTCTTCATTTTGAAGTAAAAATTTGGTTAGTGGTGATTCGCAATTTGGCCTCACCGGAGATATGAGTGTCAGATTGTGTGAATGATTGTGGCACGACTTTCCATTTCGAAGGAAAATTTGGATGTAGGAAATTTGTGAAATGGAAACCAAGTAAAGACTATTGGATTGTGCGAAGAAGTCCCTTGCTCACCGTCTTGCGACTCCGATGGATCTGCACCAGGCTTTCGTCTGTACTGTGACAGACATTATCAGAGCAAAAATCCACATTGTTAGGGGGACCTTCATTTCGAATGAAAGTACATGATGAAGAGATTCTTTTGTCGATCTCACCAGATGAGGACGGATGAAAATCGTTGTACTGCAGCCGTTCGGCTTTTATATTATATTCATGTCGATCTCACCAGATGAGGACGGATGAAAATCGTTGTACTGCAGCCGTTTAGCTTTTATATTCTATTCATGTTCTCAGCAGATGAGGACGGATGAAAATCGTTGTACTGCAGCCGTTCAGCTTTTATATTATATTCATGTTGACGCAGGGAGGACGGATGAAAATCGTTGTACTGCAGCCGTTCAGCTTTTATATTATATTCATGTTGACGCAGTCCACCGTATTCCTCCCTCGTTTCGGGTAAAAACGTGCTGAGCTTTCGTCCATCATATGATGGACATCACCAAAGCTGAGCACGGATGAAAATCGTTGTACTGCAGCCTTTTAGCTTTTATATTATATTCATGTTGACGCAGTCGACGAGTATTCCTCCCTCGTTTCGGGTGAAAACGTGCTGAGCTTTCGTCCATCATATGATGGACATCATCAGAGCTGACGGATGAAAATCGTTGTACTGCAGCCTTTTAGCTTTTATATTATATTCATGTTGACGCAACTCCCTCGTTTCGGGTAAAAACGTGCTGAGCTTTCGTCCATCATATGATGAACATCATCAGAGCTGGGAGACAGATTGAGACATTTTCCCATGTCCTTATTTTACCGTCATGCTTTTTCTCAAAAAAGATAGGCGAA